CCCTCCTCTCCTGATAGGCCACCAACCACACGGCCTGGAGTCTGCTCCCTGTCCTGGGTCCGAGCAGGCTGTGCTCCCGCTGGCTTCCCTTACACTGAGCACAGCACGGCAAGATCCGTGCCCTGTGCATGTGCTGCCGTAAGCCCTGAGTCCTCACTCCTCCACTTCATGGGTGTCACCCTGGGCAGCAAAAGGTGCTGGGCCCGGAGCGCCTCGAGGCCTGGGCTCTGCTCCTGCTGAGCCAGTCCAGGCCTCAGATACCTCAGCTGTAGGGCAGACGACCATGGCACCTGTCTTAGCTACTTGCTCGCTGCTGGGACAGGATACCCGACACCCAGAGTTAAAGGAGGAGAGGTTTATTTGGCTCACCGTTTGTAGAGCTTTCAGCTCATAGTCGGTGCTCCGAGGCAGGGTGGCGCTGCAGCGGAGAAGCAGCTCAGGGCAGGCAGAAGGAAGCAAGCAGCAAGCGACAAGTGGCAAGCAATGACCACAGCAGCTCCTTCTGCCCCTTTAGCTCATAGTTAGCACAGCCTTAATCGCACCAGCAGACCGTGAATCCATCCCATCACATCCTTGATCCCAGCAGCACACATTCTAGATCCAGCCACCTCCGCAAAGCTCAGCTGTGACCCCACGAGGCTTTGCGGGGAGCGCCCGACAGTCCTCACAGCACCCACTCCACGGGTCTCAGAGGGGCTCCCATCAGCCACACATGGCAAGGGCGTCTCTGGCGGGCACAGTTCTGCGATGTTCACCCGAAAGCCGGGGCTTCCCCAGAGCCCCCAAACACAGCCCATCCCTGTGCCTCTTCACGCCCAAAGCCTGTGTCCCCCAAAGCAAGCGCCCTGGCTTTTTGCCTGCCCGATTGTGCTAACCTGTGATGTTGTGTCTGCCCAGAGGTCTCCCCGCCGCCCAGCCTTAAATCCGTAATGAAAAAGAAAGACTGTGGCTTCGGTGCAGCAGGCAATGGGGGCAAAAAGAACCTCCAGTTTGTTGGGGTTAACGGTGGGTAAGCATCGCCTGTGACAACCCCACGCCTTCCCTCCTCCCTGCGCTGTCCCCAGCACCCCTCTCTCCCCTCCCCCGGAACCTGTTTCCCTTCTCTGGCCCAGGAATCCATCTCTGAGCAGCTGGGGCTCCACATCGGGCTGCTTGTGTGTGGCCCGGCGCTCGCAGTGCCAGTCCGTGGGAGCCTCTGCTTTAAATGTCTTGGCTTCCGTGTTCTTTGGGGCCAGGACTCGGGGTGCCTTAGGGTTTGAGGGCACACGGGCCCTTTAGGAAAGGCTGTGACCTGAACCACGGTGCTGACACTGGCACAAGCTCTGGCAATTTGCTGAACTTCCCGTTGTCCGCGGAACTGTTGCTTTAACTTGCTGCGACCCAGTCCCAGGCTTGAGGAATGAAGAAAACTGATCGAGACCGTCAGCCAGCCTCTGTGGCCCAGGGCGGTGGCCACTGGATTCAGGGCACAGTCATGCGTGGCTTAGCCAGCAGGGTTGGTTCTTTGTGATTTTGCCCCGTGGGGACGCAGACCTTGGACAGAGTCTGAGGCCGCCGGGTGTGGCGGATTTGCTGCTGGGCAGCACCTGACTGCATTCTAAACCGACCATCCGGAGTTTTCTAGATGCCAGTGGTGTGCCAGGTGGGGGAGCAGAGTCAGAGCACAGTGGCTACCATGACCTGGGTCAGTCAGGAAGTGGAGGAGAGGGCGATGTGCAGGGCAGTTCCTGACGACTGGGAGGCCTGGAGGGCCCAGGTGCACCCTGTGGGAGGGCACTAGAGCAGACAGGGCTTCGAGGTTCTGCGAGGGGCGTCAGAGTGACGCAGTGGGGTCGCAGGTGGGTGCTGGTCCCCATTCCGGAAGTGTCAGTGGCCCTGTGGCCCATGAGAGGCCATTGTCCCAAGTCAGCCTCACCTCGGAGCCCAATGCAGGTCACTCAGTCCGCACGTGAATGCCCCGTGAGCCCTCTGTGCCCATCTGGAGTCCTGGTCACGGCTCGCCTGCTGCGGCCCCAGACCACACCACCTCCTCCAGCCGCGCGGCTCAGGCATGGCGGGGCCCAGTGCGGGCCTTCAAGGCCGGGAGTGCTGCTGTGGTGCCCGGCTGTGGGGACAGCGAGCTCCGGGCGTACTGACCCCAACCCTGGAGCCTCGGTGGGGCTGGCTGGGGTGCAGGGCACAGTCGGGGGAGGGGCGACACCACGCAGTTCCCATGCGCTGCGGAGCCTGACCTTCCTCCCTTTGCTCCGCCGCGGCCCTTTCCTGCTGCATCCACCGTGCCAATCCCATAAAGCACTTGTTTACGCGCGTTTTCCTGCCTCTCCTGGGGCAGGGCTTTGAGAGCACTAGAACACTGCCCGGCCGCAGTAGTGCTCAGTGATTTCCGCTGAAGGAAGTCAGGACCTCCAGGTCTTCCCGGAAGCCATTCTAAGCTGAGCGCTTTGGTAAATGTCCTGTTGCTCACAAAAGCAGCAGGTGTCCCACGCACAGGAGGGGAGAGACATGGGGCCCAAGCAGACAGGCCGTGGGTACAGCGGGGAGTGGGCTGGACTTACAAAGCAGGCCCAGGGCCTCGGGAGGAGCCTGTTTAGAGAGAGGGCTTTAGTGGGCTCGGGGGGACCCATGGCACCGGGGCCTGTGGCTGTGTCCGGTGTCCCCAACATGGCGTCCTCCGTGACCCTCATCGGGTGAGCTGGGGGCCTGCCAGAGAGGGAGCCTGAGGCGGGCAGCCTTGGCCTCACTGCCGCTTCCCCTTCCCTGGCACGGCAGGGGCCCTTCCACGGGGATGGGAGGACTCGAAGGGGACTCCAGGGGAATTCCAGAAGCAAACGGCCCTGAGACCTTGCCCTGCGGTCTGGACGTGCGAACATGCGTCCGGGGAGTGCGGCACGCGTTCTTTGACCACTGTGTCTCACCCGGGCACCTCCTTGTCCTGCAGGGTCGCCCCGGGGATGCGGTGGCAGGTGGGGTCCGCGGTGGCAGGGCAGGAGGGACAGACTGTGACCTTGTCCCTTCTGTAGCTATGAGACCACCTCCAGCGAGGAGACCAGCGCAGAGGACAGCTCCCCCGAGGGCCTGTCTGACAGCGAGGCTGGGGAGAACGGCGGTGATCCAGAGTGCGTGCGGCATGGGGACGCCCACCCTGAGCAGGGCCACCCTGAGGCCACCCGCAGCACAGGCCGGGGAAGCGCGCCTGCCGAGGGAGCTTCCCATCCCGAGGCTGAGAGGTGAGGCCCGGGCTGGATGGGGTGAGGGCAAATGTCCACCCCTCCCTGCCTCCGAAGGGTCTGTTGGGCAGAGGGCCAGTGAGTCTTCCCTCCTCACCCAGGGACGCACTCGCGCTGTTCTCCAGATGCAAGCCCTCAGAGGAATTCCTTCATGCGTGCCGGGCACTAAGCCAGCACCCGCCGGAAGCCGAGGCCGCTGACCCGCTCCTGGTACTGTCCTTTCTTGTCGCCACATAAAGACTGCCGAGGGGTGGCTTGGGTTGTTTGGTGGGGTGGCAGCATGCTGGGTGACAGAGCAGGCTGAGGAGGTGGAAGAGGGCTGCGTGCGGGAGGTGGGCCCATCTGAGGCCCAGCCCACAGCAGCGGGGCCGGTCTGTCCTCAGCTCTGCTATGGCTGGAAAAGGCCAGGGTGGAGTGGGCTCCACTCTAGGACCCCCAGGAGCTGGGCTGAGTTCGTGTCCCCAGCAGCAGCGAGCCCTGACATTGATTCTGCGGTCCTCACCACTGGCCCAGAATGCACCCTTGCCTCAGAGATCCGAACCGAGGAGATACTGGGCTCCTTTCTGCCTCAGTGGCCCGTGGAACTGGGAACACTGAGGGTCAGGCCAGCCTTCTAACCAGAGCCCTGGCCGGGCACTGGCGGTGTCACGAGAGCGCCGTGGCCTCGAGGTGGCAGAGCCAGAGGCACTGCACCCACCTGCTCTCGGGGGAAGAGCTCTGAGCACAGCCCCCAGGCGACGGGAGTGCTTGTGTGTGTGCCTGCGTGTGCATGTGTGGCACCTGCCCAGCCCGCTTCCCTTGCTGTATCTTAGCTGACCTGCAAGACATCCCAGCTGTCACAGAACCGGGGAGCCAGGAGGATGCCGAGTGACACTGCTAATCTCTAAACAGAGTACAGAACTAACTTCAGCCTTAGCTCATTTCAAATCCACCCTGTGTTCCCCAATGTCAGGATCTTCGGCTGAAGCAGGCATTGCGTGGCTGCAGGAGACTTAGTCCGTGGGTAGAGATGATATTCCATGGGAGGAATGATGCTCTGTGGGTGGGTGGAGGAGATATTCCGATGTATGAAAGTGCTTCAGCCACAGAGCGCTGAGCAGAGTCTGAGTCAGTCGGATGAGCCTGACCCCACCTTGTCAGGATCCAAGAGGGCCGCTGCCCCAGCCCTTCGCTTCATCCCTGCGCACAAAAGCGGGGTGATGGGACCCCACCCTTGGAGCTATGGGCCTGAGGGAGCCAGCCCCATGTATGGGACAGAAAGGCTCAAAAGGCGCACGACTTCCAGTCACAAGCTGAGCCAGTGCCTGTGCTGACTCGGCAACGTCCAGCCCGGGCCGCTCCAGACCGGTGAGAAGTCATCTGTACTACGGCAGCCCGGGAGCTCCCCTCTGGTGTCACCGTGAACCTTGGCCCTGCCCCACAGTGGTGCCCACTCCAGGTGGAGGCCCCCCTTTCCCCTGACGGGCAGAGCACAGTTGAACACCAGCACGAAAGGGCACCCCGGCCGGGGTTTACTTCCAGCCTAAGTTGGGGACGCTGTCCAGCTGGGCGGTCGGCACCCGCTCCCCAGCAGCACATGTTCTGAGGTCCGGCCCTGCCCTGGCAGTAGGCAGGTCGTGAGAGGCTGGCAGTGTGGCTGTCTGGGCACAGGGGCCCTAAACCCACAGCGTGCCAGGCGGACGCCTGCGAGGTTCCCGTCCTCAGCCCCGCGGGGCCCCGTGGGCCCCCACCCTGACTCCTCACATCCAAACGTGTCACTGCAGCCACGCGGCTGTCGTGCAGGGCAGGACCGCCCGGGCTGGCCTGTTCTGGGGACCCAGCCGGGGACCCCTCAGAACCAGGCTCTTCCGGGATTTCAGAGGCAGAGCTTGAACACCGTCAGCCAAGAGTGGTTCCGCGTGTCCAGCCGGAAGTCGTCCAGCCCCGCCGTGGTGGCTGCCTACCTCCTCGGGGTGCAGCCGCTCTCCCCGCATCTCCTGAAGCTGCTCGTCAACCTGGCCGATCGCAACGGGAACACGGCACTGCACTACAGTGTGTCCCACTCCAACTTCCCCATCGCAAAGCTGCTGCTCGACACAGGTCTGTGTCCAGGTCCCTCCTCCAGGCCCATTCTGCTGCTTTTTTAGGAGACAGGGTCTTGCTGTGCAGTCCAGGCTCCTGGGTTCAAGCAGTCCTCCTGTCTCAGCCTCCCAACTAGCTGGGACTACAGTAAGGGCTTTTTCTACCACGTCTTTCCAGCAGGGAGATTCTTCCCTGTCCAGAGTTCCTCGGCATCCCAGGAACTGGGCTCCTCCGTTTTATTGGTATCATACCATTTCCCTCCTGTGACGTGAGCACTGCCGCTCTCTGGAGTGAGGAACCCTTCCCTTCTGTGAAACTCGCCTGGGTTGCGGAGCTGGCGAGGGCAGAGCTCGGTATTTTTAGGTGGGGGATGAACTCAGGACCTTGCACTTGCTGGGCAGAGACGGTGCCACTGAGCTGCATCCCAGCCCCGCAGAGCTCGTTTGTGCTTGGCCTGTGACACCCCAGAGATATGCCACCTGCTGGGGAGAGGCCACCTTCTCTGCCGTCAGGTCCATTTCACCTGGGCAGGGCTGCCCTGAGCAGTGAGGCCCTTGCCCTCGGGGGACGCATCTGTGCACCACAGGGTGGGAGCCCCACTGCTGTGGACAGATACTGTGGCACCTCTGAGGCTCGGGAGCTCCTGCATGCCACGCTGAAGTAATGCAAGGGCCACAGGCAACTTCTGCAGTGCTGCTGTCCAGCAGCCTCTGGGAGCCCACGCCCGCCCGGAAGTGAGGGCCCTCACTGCTGTCCGGGTGCAGGTAGAGCCAGAGCCCACTCAGCTCCGCCCCAGGGACACGCGCTGCCTTGGGCACCGGGGCGGGTGGCTCCGGGTCACCACACTCTGCAGCCCGAGCCCTGTGTGCCCATCTCGGAGCAGACATGAGTCAGGGTTGAAATGGAGCCCTCGGCCGGGCAGGGCCCTTGCTCCCCTCTCCCGGGATGGTGCTGGGGGCGCGCAGTGGCTGCTCCCCTCCTCTCTGTGACGCCGACCGCCAGGGGCTTGCAGGAGCTGCTGTGCAGCCAGCCTGGCTCTTCCGTGTCTGCGCACCTCTGTGCACGCAGTTCCTAGAAGGCCCCAGCTGCTCTGGGGAGGGCGCATTGCTCAGGAGGCTGTCGCCGTCTTCCAGAGCCGGGGCCTCTGTGGTCTGTGCAGCAGCAGCATAGCTGAGTGATTTCCACACTGCACTTCCCGGGGCAGCATCACTTAGCACAGATGCCAGCCTGCCTGTGACAAGAGGGCCTGTGGAGCCCAGGCCCGGGAGGCAAGGTTTTTGTTTTTTAAGACAGACTCTTGCTATGTAGCCCAGGCTGGCCTGGAACTTGTGTCGATCCTCCTGCCTCAGCCTCCTGAGTGTTGGGATTATAGGCGCGCGCCCCTTTCTGTTTTAAATTCTCATCAACTACATCATCTTTAAACATAGGCTCCTTTTGCATTCCATGTGGACCATTTCTCAGTGTTTCCATATAAGAACCATGGCCTTTTCCCCTCATTCTCAAAGAGGTTGATGCTGGGAGGTGTCCCACGTTACCCTGTGGCAGGTGTGTGTGTGCCCTCGGGAGGGACCCACAGCCAGCCATCCGTGTGAGAGACACACACAGGGCCCAGGGTGCACGAGGCGGGTGGCGCAGTCGCCTTTGCCGCTCCGTTACAGAGCCTGACCTTCAGCATCCTCCTCTATGGGGTGGCAGCGGTGTTGCATCCAGCTTTACGAATGACATGGTTGTTGTCTCCTCTGGCCCAGCTGCAGACCCCTCTGGCTGGGGATCCTCAGACAGCTGGTAAAGAAAGCCCAAGCTGGCTGGGTGTGGTGGTGCACACCTGTACTCCCAGCACTCGGGAGGCTGAGGCGGGAGGATTGATGCGGCTTCGAGCGGTCTGGCTCTCCCGCAGGTGTCTGTGCTGTGGACCGCCAGAACGAAGCCGGCTACACCGCCGTGATGATCACGCCCCTGGCTTCTGCTGAGACCGATGAGGACATGGCCGTGGTGTGGAGGCTCCTGCGGGAGGGCAACGTGAACATCCAGGCCACACAGGTGAGCAGTGCGGCTGGGCCCTTAGCACATGCCACGCAGGGCCCGGGCGCTCACCCGGGAGCCCAGTCCCCCGGCGTCCAGGCCCAAGTGTCTGCTCTTCTGGGTTCCGAGACCAGGTGGCCAGGGGTCAGGGGGCATCTGGGTCCTGTCTCCGTGTGAGGGGAAGGTCCACTGGGCCTCCCATCCCGAGCCAGATGGCACGCAGCTCTGAGAAGGCTGTGCCCTGGGGACCCTCGGGCTGGACCAGGGCCTGACCAGGCCCACACTCCAGGAGCGCCTCAGAGACTGGCTGTCACCCTTCCTTCCCAAAAGGCTTCAGCACAGCCACGGGTCCCTGGATGGAGAGGGAGCCAGGGGCCAGCCACACGGGAAGTCACTTTTGTCCGGGGCTGTGAGGACCCCTCTCCTCTGCCTCAGTTTACCCACAGAGCCACCGCAGGGCCTGCTGCCAAGGGGTCAGTCTGCCCGGACTGCTTTAAAGGTGGTCAGTCTCTGAAATGATTGAGCCTCAAACTCACCAAAGCCTCCTCCTCCAGGCAGGGTGGGGACATCTTCTAGGCATGCAGATCCCGTCCAGGTCTGGAGCCCCCCGGGCCAGGTGCCCCGAGGCCCCACTGCAGGTGTACACAGGCTCAGGTCCACCACTGTCACCTTGTGCCTCAGGTCAGAGAGCCGAAAGGCCAGCTGGTCTACCCAGCCTTCCTCCTGTGAACACTAGATCATCCCAGCTTCCCTGTGACAGCCTCCAGCCCGGGGCCGGCAGGGTCAGGACTCCCATTCCTCCAGAGTAGCCCCTGCTACCTGGGCAGCCAACAGCTGCTCACACTGCGCCCACCCCGGGACCTGGAACTCGGCCTGCGCCAGGCGGGGCAGTGGCCGAGAGCTGGCCAACAGCAGAGGTGTGCAGGCCGCCAGACGAGATTCCTCAGCCTGGGCCCCTCTGCCAGCAACGGGCAGGGGTGCGGTCCTGTCCAGCAGGCTGAGTGGACGGCAGGGAGGCCTCAGAAGGGCCCTTGCCTGTCTGGACACAGGACACAGGTCCGTGTAACCCAGGTGATCACATGACTCAAGAGCTGGGGGTGTGAGGGGTCACCTACTGGGGTCAGCAGCCCCGGCGTCGCGGAGCTGGCAGGGGCCTGGAGTCCTCCGCGCCAGAGGCGAAGGGCACTTTATACAGGTGATCACGTACATGGTGAATGTTTAAATTTAAAATGTAAAATAATTACAGTAAAAGATACATTGCTATTAATCTCCCGCAAAATCCTCCCTCCCGCTTTGAACACGCGTATCCCATGGTTTTCACCACTTTCTGTAGCAGCTCTGGAGTCCTCTTTCCTAAGTGGCAGGTGTGAGAAAAAGTCCAGTGAGTGCGGCTGTCAGGTGCCTCCAACAGAAAGGCAGCTCGTAAAAACACGAGGCTGTGTCCTCATCCGCCTTATTCACCGGATCCGGCACCGTGCAACTTCCGGCTTTTCCTCAAAGTCAAAATCACCAGGAGAGGTCAGCAGCTTGAACCCACTCAGGACATGGAGGGAGCCAGGACAGCACCACTCAAGACGCTCAGGAGAGAGGACTTCAGAGCCGCTGCAGGAAGTGTCAATGGGATAAGTGTGGTGGGCGCGGGTGTGTGTGGGGGGGTTAGGGGAATTCATGGCAATGTGTCTTTTACTGATAATTTTTTTTAAATTTAAAATTCACCATAGTTTTTTATCACATCACATATCACCCCCAGGCAGTATGAGGAGGGTCACCTGAGCAGAGTGAGCCGCTGTGTTAGCTTCCTGTTAATGCTTCAAACACTGAGAGAAAGGGACTTAAACATATAAGGGGGAACTGGGGTGCAGCAGGGGTAGAGCAGTTTGGCCTGGGTCAAACACAGGGAAGGTTTCCTGTAGCTCACAGTTCCAGAGGTTCAGTGCTTGCTATCTTGGTCCCACGGCCTTGAACCTGTGGGAAGACAGAGCACCATGATGGGAAGCCACAGCCCAGAGAGCTGCTCACCTCCTGGCAGACGGGAAGCAGAAGGGAGCAAAGTGGGGCCTCAGTAGCCCTTCAAGGCCTCGCCCCATGACTTCACTTCCTCCTGCCAGGCCCCGCCTCTTACAGGCTCCACACTGGCTGATGAACGGGCCTTTGGGGGACACCTACCCTGACCTACAGTTGCGTTGCAGGAGGGGAACCCCAGCTCAGGCAGCGTAAGCCAGCCTGACCTTATCTCAGAGGACATGGGGTACTTCCGGGCAGCTGTCCACTTTACGGCCATTTTTGAGATAATCAAGAACAGGGAGCTGGACCCCCAGGGTGTGCAGAAGGGTGAGACGCCTGTGGAAACAGATTCTGAACACCCCACAAGCCCCTCTGTCCCATGCGCCCCTAAAGTGACGACAGAGGAGCCTGACCTGAGGCAGCGCCGCCCAGTGGCCAGCGGGGCGTAGCACGCGGCGGGCGAAGCGCGGCTTCGGTCTCTTCCCGCCCAGGCCATCGCGGGACACGCCGCTGCTCTCTTCCCCGTGGCCGGGGGCGCGCCCGCCCATCACCGCTGCCCTTCTTTTCTCAGGGCCAACCAGAGGGCGAGAGGCTCGTCCCAGGCCACCCGGGGCCAAGGACTTCACAGCCGCGTCTCTCCCCTCTGTGGAGCAGGGCCGCAGTCCTAGGGAGAAGAGGGACAGGCTTCTTGCTGTCTTGGTCTCCCCGGGTCCGCGGGGGCCTGGTGACCAGGAGCACTCTGCAGTGAGCACTGGGGTTACATCGTAGGAGCTGGAGCTGCAGGAAGGCAAGGGAGGCAGGGCATGCGTCACCCGCTTTAATAACAGCTGGGAGAAGCGTCTGGGGGGCCTTGCGGTCAGTCAGTCTATCAACAACCGTTACCTCAGAGCTGAGAAAACAGACACCAAAAGGGAGCAGGTTTCTCTGGAAAGATCTGTCTGTGTTCCAGAGAGATGGGGAGCCAGGGGCTCTGGCGATGCAGCCCACAAACCGAGAGTGTCACACACTGCCTTTAACCATCAGGCAGACAGCGGCGGCACTCGGGGAGGCTGAGACAGGACTGCAAGTTCCAGGGCAGCCCGGGCAAGTGGACGGCTTAGCAGGACCCGGTCTCAGGATCAAACATAAAGAAAGGGAAGAGGCCGGTGTAGCTGGGCCGGGCTGGGCCCCGCAGGCCAGTTATCTGCGGCCCGCAGCGGGCCCGGGAGGGAGGGCCGTCTCCAGTTCCGTGCTGGGCCTGGTTCGGTGCTGCAGAGCGCGGCCCGGAGGCCCGGGGCAGCTGGAGCGGGGGCTCGGCCCGGCCAGCCACTCAGCTCACCGCGTGTCCGCAGGGAGGCCGGACGGCGCTCATGCTGGCGGTCGTCCACGGGCGCGGGGACATGGTGCGCGCGCTGCTGCGCTGCCGGGCGGACGTCAACCTGCGGGACCACGCGGGCCGCACCGGCCTCATGCTGGCCGTGCGCCGCGGCAGCGCGGGCCTGGTGCGGCTTCTCCTGGCCCAGCCGGCCTGCGACAGCAGCCTGGCCGACGAGGTGAGGCGGGCGCCCAGGCGCGGGCGGAACCGGGCGGGTGAGCCGGGCCGGGACACAGCCGCCTCGCCTCGCCTCCCCGCAGGCCGGCCGCACGGCCCTGTCCCTTGCGCTGCAGCCGCCGGCCCGCGCCGACATCGCCGGCCTCCTGCGGGCCCACGCGGAGCGCGCCGGGGGCCGGGGCAGCGAGCAGCCGCAGCAGGACTGAGTGGTGGACGGCGGGCGACGGCGGCCCAGGACGCCCGGGGAGGAGCCGCAGCCCGGACGCTTCCGCCGTGTGGTCGCCGGAGGCTGCAGCCACTGCACCGGGTCCGGCCGAGGGCTTCGCGCGTTGCGCCCGGGCGTCCCCAGGGCCCGCTGGCCGGGACGGCAGGAGGCTCTCGGGCTCTTCCGGGCCGCGGGGAGGCGCGACCTGAGGCCCCACGCGAGGGGACGGCCCTGTCGGCGGAGACGGCGGAGGGCGGCTCCTCCCAGGCGCGCAAAAGGAAAGGCCGCGGGCCCGCCCTGGAATCCTCCGTCCTCGAGCTCAGGCCCGGGACGTGCAGGAGCGGCCTCCTTCCCAGCAGCTGCGAGGCCCAGGAGCAGCCCGCGCCCCGAGGGATCCGAAGTCTCCTCCCGGAGGCCGCACCCACAGCCCACGCCCCCCGCCGACCTCGGAGCGAGCGGAGTCCTCACCTATGGCCGAGTCCTTCCCAGCCCCTCGCCCTCCACTTCCCACCCCGCGGCCGCTCCCTGGGCTCGCGTGCGTCCACGCCCTCGCTCGGTGAAAGCTTGCTGTCCGAGTGCGTGTTTGACCTGTGCAAATGCACGTCTGCAGCCACTGCGCATCAGCATCCCTCCGGTAACGCGGGGCCCTGCTCCTCTGACACGGTTGTAGGGCGAGTGACGTTCTGGCTGAGCATCGCAACCTGACCCTCCACGCCTCTAGCTCGGCGTGACGCTTTCCGTCCCCAGCCTGAAGCAGGCAGAACACGGACTTCAGAATTTGTGAATGGTGCACTAAGAACCCGGACGGCGGCCTCAGGACACAGCTACACCCTCCCTGCACCTCCTGCTCCGCCAGTCACACCCCGAATCCTTACAGCCACTCTAAGCCCAGAAATTAGTTTAGCTGATAAAAAGGGCAGAAACCTGATCTTAAGGGGAAGGTCAGAGAGTTCAAAAAATGTTTTAGGCAAAACATCTTGGGTCACCCAGCTTAACAAAAAATAGACCGGCCGCACCTTCCTCCTGTGGACGGGCATTGTCCTTCTGGGCCGGCCGACTGGAGCTTCCTTCGGAGTTACAAAGCCCGCAGTTTCTACTGCCAAGAGCGGACAGGTGTCCCCAGGCCCTGTCGCTCCAGGGCTTGCACTCTTTTGAGTGTATACTTTAAATTCTACCTTCTTAAACCTTGTTATGCTTTTAAAAAAGTAAAATCTTTGCTGACTTAATTTTAAACTTATTTTGCTTGTCTCTGGAGCACATACAATGTTTTAAATTAAAATTTCGCTCATTAACAGGAAGGCAGGGTGGTGCACACCTGTAACCCTAGCACTTGGGAGGCTGAGGCAGGAGGACACCTGTGAATTTGGGGCCAGCCTGGGAGACACAGCAAGACCCTGCTCAAATAAATAAACAAGCAAATAAAATCTAATTATATACATGTATGATCAAAATATTTGCTTAACATTGGAAATTTTAAAAAATTCATTACAGTAAGACACATCGCCATGAATCCCCCTCAGAATCCTTCTGCTCACTTCCAACACATCCCATCACCCTGGCCACTTTCTGAAGCAGCTCTGGAGTCCTCTTCCCTGAGTGTCTTTGCAGGTGTGATAAAGCAAATAATGATGAAAAGCTGCTGCCGAGCGCCATCCAGCGAAAAGGCAGCTTGTGAAACTGCGCTGTGTCCTCACCCACCTGACAAACCGATCTGGGGCTGTTCCAACTGGTTTCCTCCGAGTCTGGAGGACCATGAAGGGAAGCATTCTGAATGGATTCAGGACGTTGGGCAGCCGGGACAGTGCAGCTAAAGAAGCTCAGGAAAGTGGACTCCAGAGCAAGAAGCGGCCAGGCCAGGCGGTGTGTTCGAAGGTGGGGAGGACTGAGGGATTTGTGGTGATGTGTCTGATTGTGAGAAATGCTTTTGGTTGTAATAAATGTTTTTATTTTTTAAATTTAAACATCCACTGTATCTTTTACACAGCTGGTTAGTCCTTTCCGGCGGAGCCCACAGCCAGGACCACGGGTGCAGGCCTCTCCCCGGCAGCTGCCCTGGAGCCCTTGGGCCCCCTGGGGTTCGGGTTCTGGGTGGGCTGGCGGCACTCAGTGACGTGCTCCGGGCCAAGCACAGTGACCAGGTCTTCCCGGGGGACCCTTCCTCGCCCTTCAGTGCCTGTGAAGCTGAACACCCCTGGTTGGGGGTGCTGCTCCCCTCTCCCGGTCTTCCTGTGGCCTTTGGGGTGGGATCAGAGTTTCCCTAGAGACACCGTCAACCCTATGACCTCATCTTCAGTTACATCTATCAATCCTTTGTGTGCATTTAGAGACAGGACCCCTCTCTGTACTTTAGGCTGGCTCTGAACTCACCATGTAGACCAGGCAGGGCTCAAACTTGTGGGGATCCTCCTGCCTCAGCCTCTGGAGCACTGGACTTACAGGCATGCACCTCCACCAGCTTTAGATCCATTTCCAGATAAGGGGATCCCAAGCAGATGGGGAACAGCTGCTCACCCCAGTGCGACCCACACCCCTCAGCTGCCAGGTGACTGTACACAGCCACTTAAATCTCAAAAGGGAGCAGAGCACGGAGACACGCCGGCAACCCCGGCTGCTGGGGAGGCCACAGCGGGAGGATCACAGTGGTTCCCGCCCAGTCCTGCAACTTAGCGAGACCTTGTCTCAGGTTGAAAACTAAGAGGGGTTGGGAACATAGCTCAGTGGTATGGAGCCCCTGGGCCCATTCCCCAGTGTGGCAAAAACAAAACAGTCTTGAAATGGTGACTCTGGCAGTGGAGAACAAACCAGGGCCTTCTGGGCCCGGGCCTGGCTCGCTGTGTAGCCCAGCCTCCTGCCTCACCCTCAGGGGCAGCCACCTCGCCCAGCTCATAAACAAATGTGATTGAATGCTCAGTGTCTCCGAGCCCTCCAGGGGCTAAGCAACCCCCACCCACCCAGACACTGGGTGTTCCCGGGAAGCCCCCAGGGTCACAGAAGTGGCCACAGGCACTCTGAGATCCATCTGGGTATGAAGACACAGGCAGTGACATTGTCTTCAGCGAGGACAGCGTCTCCTCCTGAGGGAGGCAACCCCCCCCCCCTCCAAGGAGCAGTCAGCACCCGTGGCCCTGAAGTGAGAATGACTCTCCTGTCCCAAGCCATGCAGCAGCTGCTCCTGACAGCAGCCACCAGCCAGCGCTCCTGCTCAGGAGGCCACCAGGGCTCCCAGTGAAAGCTCTAAATCCGGGCATCCGGGAAGCCAGGGCAACCTCGGTTACCCAGTCCACAACCCGACCCCAGTGACGGCAGCCCACAGTGGCTCAATCTGAGACCCACACCCACACCGGGAAGGCTGCAGCTCAGGTACCCGGGGCTCACCGGGGCTCACCTGGGCCACGCTGGCGCCCCAAGGACAAAACCTACCAGCAGGAAGCTGAACCAGTCTGCTCATTCCCCGTCTGAGTATGTCAGCCACAAATGTGGCCTCCAAGTCTCCTCAAAGTCCCATGGGGAAGGGAGGAAGCCATGGAATGAGGAGCCCAAGCCCCAAGAGGGAGGGCACTGCCTAGCTCAGCGGGTAGGTCACAGCCAAGCCAGGTGCTGAGGCCAGGACATTTTTATTTATTTTTCGGTACCAGGGATCGAATTCAGGATCTTATGCTTACAAGGCAGGCACAGTGCCACCGAGCTACATCCCAGGCTCTATTTAATTTTTATTTTTCCCTATTTAATTTTTGAGACAGGGTCTCACAAGGTAGCCCAGGCTGGCCTCAAACTCAGTGATCCTCCTGCCTCAGCCTCCCAATTGCTGGGATTACAGGCACGTGCCTGTAGGCTGTATTTTAAGTAATAATCACTTTTCAGGTGCCTTGGAAGGCAGTGTGGCAGGAAGGTCAGAGCCAGACTTTCCTGGGGCTAAACTGAATGATTCCTGAAGTGAATTCTGTAAAAATGTTGGTCACTGACCTGTGTCCTCTTCATTACCTCACACTGGAAATGAAATGGGTTTCATTAATGATCAAAACACACTGATGTCACAGGGCTACATCTGTTCCCATAGGGTTAGGCCACAAGATGTGAAAGTTGTCAGACCAGATACAACAAGGGTTACTCAAATGAAAAATCTTTATTGTAAAAGTTCCCATGGTGACAGACATGACACAGCCTCCTCCTGAGCTGGATCCCAGCTTTTCTGGACACTGGACAGGAGGATCACAAGTTTGAGCCCAGCCTGGGCAACTTAGTGGGACCTGTTGCAAAGATTAAAAAGGGGCTGGAGGGCCAGGGATTTAGCTCAGTGGTTCTGCTGCCTGCCTCACAAGCACAAGGGCAAGGTCCCCAGTTCAGTCCCCAGTACCAAAAAATCAAAATAAAAAGGGCTGGAAACATAGCTTTGTGCAAAAGCCCTGGGTTCATTCTCTAGTCAAAAACAACAGGACCAAAAAACAAACAAACAAAAAAAAAACCACCAGGACCAGGGATGTAGCTCAGTGGTTCCACCCCACCCCCTGCCTCGAAAGCGCAAGGTCCCAAGTTTGATCCCCGGTACCAAAAAAGCCCCAAATCCCTCCAAGCTGTGATGGTCCGCATTAAGTTTTTAACAACAATCTTTAACAGTACCCAGGTAGCGTTCCCTTCCTGCTCCCACAGAGCTGCTGGCCTCCCCCTCTGGGGAGAGGTGGTGTTCACTCCTGGGCTGGCGGTGGGGGGAGCTCACTGCGTCCCTTGCTGCCCACCTAGGCGGCTAAAGTACCTTCTCTAGCAGTTCCTTCAAAGAGGGTACACGGGAAACAAACCTTCTGAATTCATCAGTATCAAAAAATGTCCTTGTTTTTCCCTCAAAATTGATCGTGAGCTTGGCAGGGTACCGGATCCGGGGGTGGAGGCTGTTCTCCTGCGGGACGGTGACGATGTTGCCCCACTGGCTGCGCGCATCCAGCGTGCTCTGCGAGACGTCCGCCGTCAGCCGCACCCTCGCTCCCCGGTAGGTGACCTCCTTTCTCTCCCGGGCGGCCTGCAGGATCTTCTCCCTCTCGTAGGGGCTCCAGAAGGTCACCAGGATGTGTCTAGGGGTCAGCCTTCTCTCATCGGCCTTGCTGGGACCCGGTGAGCACTGACAACCTTGAGGCTCGCGTCCCTCCTCAGCCGTGGGAAGTTCTCCTCGATTATGTCTGCGAGGATGTCCTCTGCCCCGTTCTCCTTCGTGTCCTTCTCTGGAACTCCTATCACCCGATGTTGGCACTTCTGACTTCATCCTCTGTGAGCCGCAGTTTCTTGCTCTTCATCAGCTGCATGGACATCTGCATCGTGTCCTTAGACACCTCTTCCATCTGGCCGTCTAGACTGCGCACTCTTTCCTCCAGTTCACCCACTCGGCTGCGCAGGTCACCTACTGAGTGTTGAATCTCCAGGACATCTGGGCCACACTTCCTCATCTTCTCAAGCTCCTCTTGCATCTCTCTGAAAATGCCGACCACTCGTCTCCTGAAGTTTTCTTCTGTTTCCTGGATAAAGTCTGCTTCTTTGGATGTCAGCTCTTCTATTTGCAAAGTCTTTTGTTTTTGTTGTTCTCTTTCCTCTAAAAACTTGGCAACTCCTGATGGAGCGCTCAGATTTGCCCATGAACGCTCTTCCTGCTCATGAGGACGCCTCTCTAGGGATTCTGAGAGCACAGCCAGACACGAGGCTGGACGGGGCACCTCGGTCCCTGGCCCTCTGGAAGCAGCTGTCTCCTCTTCTTGCTGCTCAGTGTTGTGCACCTCTGGGGACTGCTCCAGCTTCCCCTTCTCCCGAGCCAAATAACCACAGGCCAGCTCCTCACGCAACATGGAGGCCTCCTCTCCTTCGGGGCTGGGGTCTCCTTGTCCCTCCTGCTGCTCCTGCTCCTCCTCCTGGTCCATTCCCGAGTTTTCTTCCTCCTGCTCCTCCTCCTCCATCTCGGAGTTTCCTTCCCCCTCCTCCTCCTCCTCTTCCTCCCAGGTTTCTTCTTCCTCCTCCTCTTCCATCCCCGAGTTTTCTTCCTCCTCCTCCTCCTCCTCCCCCCAGGTTTCTTCTTCTTCCTCTGCTTCCTCTATCCCAGAGCTCCCTCCTCCCTCCTCCTCCAGCCACAAGGCCTCCTGCTCCTCCGCCTTGGGCCTTTTTTTTCCCTTCCATTCTGAAGACACTGAGCTCTTCCCCGGCGTAGCAACCTTCACCTCTTTAATGAACAGGAAGTTCAAGCCTTCACTTGCTGGGTCTCCAGCTCCACACTTTGAGGCTTTTAGAGGTTTATCCTGAAAGTTAAAGAAAAGGCTTGAGTTGTGTCTCCTAAAAGCTAATGCTTCCCCACACTCTACTAACAGGGCTGCCATTTACAAGGAGGAAGTTTCTGGAAAGTTGCTTTACTAGCATCTATTATTCGCTCAGCAGTGCTGGACGTGACTAGGCGCAGGTTCTCCCAGTGTCTGTCACCTCAGCCCCCGACCTAGGCACCAGACACTTCAACACAATTCCTTCCACACGGTCGTCACGTCCTGTGTTCCTGCTGTGCCCGACACTTCACGGTGTGTGCACGATTGACGCTCACTGCCTGTGTCTTTGCTACACGGGTCCTGTCACTGTGACACCTGAGGCCTGCTCAAAGCTCACGCTGCCTTCAGCAGACTGCTGGGAGCAGCTGGATGTGGGGTGTGGCTCTGCCTTGAGAGCCTGGTCCAGTGCAGTGCTGGGGCCCCCACCACACTCACCCCCGGGATAAAAGCAGATTTAAATTCCCCACTCCCACTTTGACTGGAGCAGTATTACTCGGGAGGAAAATAGGTCTGGCTCTGATGCAGGCTCGGTCCAGATTCAGAAGCGTGCTGAGCGCATGGCTGCTAGGACTCTGCCTAGGATGCCACCCACACCCAGGGGCACCCGGAGCTCTGGGGCCAGGCTCAATGCACAGCGGGATAAGACAAGGCCAGGCTGCGTCTTCCCGCCCCGCCTCCCAGAGGAAGTGATGCTTCCGGCCCCTCTCTCCTGGCTGGAAGGAAGTGAGGGCTCTGGGGAGACTCGAGCTGAGCTGAGCGCAGCAGACAAGGGCTGTTCTGGGGACAGCAACTCCGCAGAGGCCGTGCGGTACTCCTCCCAAGCCCACACCACTGGGCACCACAGCGGCCCTGTCCGGTCTGCCTGCCACAGCACAGGCTGTGAGTGCAAATCCCATGATACCGGGGAATCTGCATAACCGATATGCACTATTTAGGGTAGGGGAAGGGCTGGGGTTTAGCTCAGTGGTTCCACCACCTGCCTCGAAAGCGCAAGGTCCAGAGTTCCCCAGTACCAAAAACCAAACAGCCAAAAAGGCTTTGGGGCCAGGCAGTGGTCCACTTTCGGTCTCTGCACTCTGCGAGGCGGAGGTTAGGCTTGTTCTTCCAAAGAACTGTTTTGTTTGTGGTACTGGGGATTGAACCCAGGGAACACTGAGCTGCATCCCAGCCCCTTTTCATTTCTGAGACAGGAGCTCATGAAGTTGCTCGGGCTGGCCTGGAATTTGTGATCCTCCTGCCTTATCCTCCCAACGAGCTGGGACCATGCCTGCTTTGAAGGAATTGTGTGGGGTTTTTTTGATACTGGGATCGAACTCAGGACCTTGGGCTTGCGAGGCAGGTGGCAGAACCACTGAGGTAGATCCCTGGCCCTGTTGTGTGTTTTTTGAGACATGGTCTCACTATGTAGTTTAGCCTGGCCTTGAACTCAGAGCAGCCCTCCTGCCTCAGCCTCCCACGTGGTGGGATTACAGGTGTGAGCCACGATGCCCAGCTCTGAAGCATTATTTTCTAAAATTAGATTTAACCTATAAAATGACAGCACCAACTCTTCCTCGTAGCTTATACATGAGCTTTTTGGATTGCACGCTTACCCCCTTTGTTTGAGTCATCCCACGTTGTCTTCCTCCTTGGTGTGAGTTTGCATTCTGTGCAAGAACATCTTTCAGCAAGTATTTCAAAAAGGCCTTCTGGCTGGTAAACTTTCTGAGGCTCTGCAGGTCTGAAAATGTCTTTATTTCACCGTCACACTGAAACGCTAATTCAATCTTGCAAAGAAATTTAGGGTCAAAACCATTTTCTCCCAAAATGCTGAAGATGCGGCCCCACTGCCCAGCGACTTCCAGTGTTGCGGAGGAGAAGTCCGCAGCCAGGCTCAGGACAGCGCCCGCCGGCCTTGGCCTCCTGCCTTCTTCCCTGGGCCCCTCCTTGTGCTTCAAGTCTTCATGGTTCCTTCTCCAACCCACTTCTCTCGCTGGCTCACACCGTCTGTTCTCGCTGTCCTCTCTTTGCGGGACTTCCGCCTGGAAGTCTCGCTTTCTCCATCTGTGGCTGCTCCTGGGAGAGGCTCCTCCCATAATGTTTTTGACTTTGTCATTTTGGGGTAATTTCTTCCCTTGGCCCCCACTGTAATTTTTAGCTTTGTCGAATTTTCTTCTCTGCTCATCTAGTTCTCTTTTGAAGGTCACATCTTTCATATCCTCTCCTCTTTTGGAGTCAGCCTTCTCCGCCGACTCTGTTTTTGGTGAGGCGGAATTCTTACTTCCTGCTTCTCCTTTCTGCTCCTGGAGTCCTCTGAATTCTTCACTTCAGGTGTTGTGATTTTTGCTCCCAACATTTCTCTTATGTTGTTTGTCAGGGTCTCCACCATCTCTTTCACCACAAGGTCCTGCCTTTCCTTCAGGAACTCCACCTTGTTCCTGTCACCCTTGGATGGGTCTTCGTGTTCAGAGTCCAGTACTGGGGCCATCACCCTCTCGGCCTTCATGGCCGCCTTCTGGCCCCTCCTGGGCACTTTTTCCTGTCCCTTTGCCCAACCCGCCAGCTTAGATCGGACTCTGGGCATTGCTGTTGTGTTGTCAAACTTGTTTTCTCTTCTGAAATACTGAGTTTGTCCTTGCACACTGGGTAGACTTCAGAAATTCAAAACTTTAAAAATGTCACCTGAAACAAAGAAATAAAAACTATTTACTGAAGAATTTGAGGAACCCAGTAAGAATGAGCTAACCTAAGAAAACTACGCTGTGTATTGGATAAAAATGTACTTACAGGGCTAGTAACAAGATGGGCACATGAACACTAATCAAGAGAAAGCAGTAAGAATTCACAATCTGAACCAGGTCGTTCATTTACAAGTTAAGCGTGGCAGCACACACCTGTAGTCAGCACTCTGGGAAGCTGAGGCAGGAGGATCCCAGTCTCTGCCTACTCTGAGTGACTTGATGAAGAGCCTGTCTCAAAATTGAGGCTGGGGATGCAGCTCAATGTGAAGGCCCTGGGTTCAACCCCTAGTACCCAAAACACACTTAGATGAGGGTGGAGCTTGGTGGTAGAGCACTTGGCTAGCATATTTGTGCAAGGCCTTGGGTTCAATCCCCAGTACAGAAAAATTTACAGGATGTCCAAGTGGAGTGCACAAGCTCTCGAAAGGAAACTAGACACAATGGAAAGTGGGCAACCTCCCATCCACAACTTTCCCTACAAGGAGATGGAGAGAACAGGCGTCATTGCTGAGGGGCACAGACGGCATGGGGACAATCTGCGGTGACTCACGGGGGTGGGTACATCCCCCCTTTAGGGGGCAGAGCTGTAAGACTTTCCATCTCAATTTCTGAGTCACCACGGCGGCCTGGCCTCACAGCCCTGCCTTGGCCGCCACTTAAGAGTTTCTGCACAGACCTCAGGGGAGGCGGCTGCACTGAGGCAGTCCCCGGCTGGAAGCCGATGTCACACAGCTCGGGCGGATGCAGCCGCCCTGTGTGGTGCTGAGGGCCGAGCCAGCAGGGGCACAGGTGGCGCAGGGCAGGCGAGATTCCTGACTCGGCTTCCCAGTGGGTGGCAAAGACGGCGGCTGCCAGGAACCCCAAACGGGCAGGGCCCAGGTGTTGGGAGCAATGCTACATAATTTTAGGGGAAAATTTGGTTAGCTTAGTTCTCCTGCCTACAGCCCAGCTGTGGAATTCTGAGACATAATTCCATTTTGGCCTCCAGTCACAACTGAGACCTCAATGATCCGGTGATGCTGTCTGTGATTCTCCAGAACAAGATTACACCAGCTGAAGACATCCTGGGAGGGACAAACATCTACTCAGTTCCTCATTGTTCTTGGATTGTTACATCTTATTTACCAGGATGTACTGAACTCTCTGCAAGTCATTTGTTACATTTGTTTCTCCCAGTGCCGGAAGCTGGGGGCTTCCATCTTTGCCACCCAGAGCAGCTCTGATCAGGCCCAAAGCTCAGCTTCTTCTCAGTCTCATTTTTCTACCTTTCCTGTAACTCGCCTTGTGCTGCCGTGGCTCGAAGAAGACTAGGACTTACTGCAGAGGTTCTAGTCACGTCCCCTACCCCTGTTCCCTACACCCAGGAGGCAGCTCTGGTTGGCACCGGCAGCGGGTCTGGGGACATCTCAGACCCAGAGCTCGGCACCGCCCTTGGCACTGAACATTCAAGGACAAGATAAACGCCCCTTTGGCCAAGGTTACTTTCCTCTGCACATAAAGCTGAAAAGGTTCAGCCCAGACAACCCAAGAGACTATAAAATAACCTGAGGCACCTCATCCACAACGTGCCAGCCTGTAAAACACCCTCAGGACCCTCAGGATTGGGCTGGCGGTGACACTGTCCCAGCGCTCTGGGGCTGGGGCAGGAGACTCACAAGTTCAAGCCCAGCCTGGGCAACTCTTGAGATTCTGTCTCAAATAAGAAAACAAGAGGCTGGGGTGTTGTTCAGCATGCACAAGGAGGGAGGTCAGTCTGGGACTGGAAAGCTAAGAGGAACAAAAAACAACACAGCATTTAAAAGGTTCCAGGACCCTGGTTTCCATTTCCCAAACAGCAGCTTGTCACAAGTAGTTCTGAGCTGCAGCAAAGTTACAGCAGAGCTGGCGTGGTGGCGCACAATTGTAATCCCAGCATGCTGGGGGAGGCTGAAGCAGGAGGATCACAAAATTGAGCTTAGCCCAGGCAATTTAGAGACCCTGTCTCCTAGTGAAAAATAAAAAGGCTGAGGATGTAGCTGGGTGCAAACACCCTCAGCTCAGTCCCCAGCACCGGGTGAAAGCCAGGTGCAAAGGTGCATATCGTTCATCCCCAGCACTCTGGGAAGCTGAGGCAGGCCTGCATGTTCAAGCCCAATCTGGGGAATTTAGCCAGACCCTGTCTCAAAGTTAAAAATAAAAAAGGCTGGGATATAGCTCAGTGCAGAGGCCCTGACGGTTCAATCCCCAGCATGGGAGTGGGGTGGAGGGACAGGTGCGAAGGTGCATGCTTGCAATCCCAGTTTGTGATCCCACTTTGAGAGGCTGAGGCAGGACAATTTGAGTTCAAGCCCAGCCTGGGCAATTTAGTAGGACCCTGTCTGAAGATATAAAATAAAGGCGTAAGACGTGGCTCAGCGAGAAGGCCCTGGGTTCAGCCCCTAGTAAGGGTGACTCCATTTTGAAATTTACTTCTTGGGGAGGGCCTCCCTGTGTAGTCCAGGCAGCCTTTTAAAACTCAGATTCTCCTGCCGGGGCCTCCCGAGTGCTGGGATTACAGGTGTGCACCACCACACCCAGCTGCCCAACACTTCTCATTTTATTTTGAGACGGTGTTCCTAAGTAAGGTGGGGCCCGCTGAGCTCGCAGCCCACCACTGAACTACAGCCCCAGCACCTGTAGTTTACACAGCCAGGTGTGGTGGCGCCACCAGCTAATGCAGACGCTGAGGGAGGAGGATCTCAAGTCTGAAGACAGCCTGGGCAGCTTAAGGAGACCCCGTCTCAAGGTGTAAAAGAAAGGGGAAGGCTGGGGGTGGGGCTCAGGCCGGTCCGCTCAGCCTCTGCCTCACAGACACAAGAGCTCCACAAGCGGAAACGCCAAAGCAGGACAGACCAGTCCGAAAAGACAGAACGCTGCAGCCGCAGGATCCGGAACAACGCGGGAAAAACAAGCCTGCTTTTCCCAGCCGGCGCCGGCGCAGCGCACTTGAAAAACCTGGGAAAATGCAAATACGCACCTCCCAGGGCGGAGGCGCGGGGCCACCGCAGGGCAACAGCGCCCTCTGAAGGGAAAAGCTTGGACCCGTGGCGTCTGTGCCCCGGTGTGGGGACAAGACTACAAGCGGCTTCAGAGTTCGCGCCAAGGTGACCAGGCCGGCCCAGCAAGGCCTCTGAGGGCCTGCTGCACCCGCCCGGTGCCGCCCTGAGCCCGCGTGCCTGGAAATCACGCAAACGCCCGCCGCACACGCACACACAGACGGGAGATTCCAGCTGCCCTGGCCACAGATACGGAACAGACAGACCCGATGAGGAAAAAGAAATGGGAAAATAAAATAGAGGCATTAAAATGGTTTTTCCCAGCACTGGGGGTTGATCCTGAGTGACACGTTAACTTTTTGAGACAGGGTCTTGCTAAATTGCCCAAAGCCTGAACTTGTAACCCTCCTGCTTCAGCCTCCCAGAGTGCTGGGATTACAGGTCGCCACCACTGCCCCCAACTCATTAAAACCTTTCAGCAGGGCCGGGACCCCAGGAAGGAGATTCCGGGGACCAGCTGGGACCGGAAGACAACACCCTGTCCTCTCCCCCGCACCCCTAAATCACAGGCAGTCTTCGGAGCGGGCCGGGATGGGCCCACGGGTGCACCGGGCCACTGGAAGAGAGGACGGCCACGCGCCTGGCTGGGGCGCGCCAGGCCCTGACTCCACCCCGCCCCGCACACCTGTCATCCCAGCACTCCGGAGGCTGAAGCAGGAAGACTGCAGCGAGTTCGAGGCCAGCCCGGGCTCCACAGTGGAGACCCTGACTCAAAAAACCAAAAGCAAACCAAAGAGAAGGAAACACGAACCGCCCTCAATTTCCAGTAGGGAAGAAAGCCCACCCGGTGGGGGGGCCGAGGGGAGGGCAGCGCCTCGAGGAAGGGCGCAGGGTGACTGACGGAGGCGCTTGAGGCGCTGCCCAGCGGGAGCAGCCCGCCCAGCCCGTCTTCCGGTCCCCACCGCTTCTGCCCCTGGGGCCGCGGGGGGGGGGAGAAGCGCGTGACCCAGCATCATGGCCCTGCGCCTCCCGTCTGCGGCCCACCCCGCGACCGCGCAGCTCGAGCGGGACCTCGCGGTGCAGGGCAGTGCTCTCGGCCGGAGCCCCGGGCGTTCGGGGAGTCCGGGTCTTGGGAGGAAGGAGCCCAGCTCACGCCCACGTACCTCGAACCTGGCACTGGACCGTCGCTGGGGTCCAGACTGCACGCACACTTTGACCTGCGGGTTACCTGACCCAGGACTCTGCTCTGCAGCCCTGAGAATGTAACCCTCCTGTCTCAGCCTCCCCTTCCCAGGCAGACAAGCCCGTCTTGCTAACAGACCAGACCGCTGAGGGAGGGCCTCTCCCGGCCCTGGGGTCCGGGGCAGGACGCGGGCCCCCTTCCAGGCCGCACCCTGTGACCCAGGCACCCGGGGAGCGAGGGGTCGGGCCCCAGGCCGGGCCGCAGCCCCCGAGTCCCGGCTGACGTGGCCGCCCCCCCCGCCTCCTCCCGGGACCTCGCGGGCCCGACTCACCTCCACCTCCCGGCCTGCGCACCAGCGAGCCGAGCGCTCCGCACCAGGCCCCGCGGTTCAGCGACTGAGAAGGAGAGACGGCGGTAGGGTGGAGCTGGGCGTGGCGGACACGCCTGTAATCCCAGCACCCGGGGGAGGCTGAGGCGGGAGCCCTCCAATACAGTGGGAGGCTGAGGCGGGAGCCCTCCAATACAGTTCCGGTGTGGGACAAAGGAACCTTTTCTCAAAAAGTAAACCCGGGCGTGATGGCACAGGCCTGTGACTACGGAGGCTGAGACAGGAGGATGATGGCCTTGAGTTTGAAGCCAGCCTGGGCTGCATAGTGAGACCCTGCCAGAGAGAGAGAGAGACAGAAAGACAGAGAGAGAGAGAGAGAGCTCAGTGTGACAGTCTTGGATTCAATCCCCAGTGCGCACACAGCAGGGTGGGGTGGGCCAGGCAACCCGGGCTGAACTGCACTGCCCGGAAGGAAGTGAGCTTGCCCACGGTCACACAGGGAGTCCTATCTGGTAAGCGTTTGATCCACACATCTGCAGTAATGTAGGTTTTTGAAATCCCTTCTGTCGTACTCATTTTGGTGTTGTTAATGTAATCCCTTAAATTAAAAAATTTAAAATCAAGCTGGGTGTAGAGGCACACGCCTGTAATCCCAGCGCTGTTGGAGGCTGAGGCAGGGGGATCCCAAGCGCATGGCTAGTGCAGGCAACATGGTGCAGCCCCATCTCAGACAGAGTGTGTGGGGCTCAGAGGTAGAGCCCCTGCCTGGCTGGCAAGAGTAACTGGGCTCGACCCCAGAAAAACACAGTGTTTCACAGTATGAAAACACCAGAGAAGTACAGCCTTGAAGCACTTTAGATGTTTGATTAGAAACATTATTATTTTGAGGCAGCTCGCTCCCCTGCAGGCCAGGCTGGCCTTGAGCCCACAACCCTCCTGCCTCAGCCTCCTGAGAGTGGAATTGTACCCTGAGCCATGGCCTGGCTCAGACGGTTTGCACATGGACTCACATGTGTAGGCGGAGCATGAGAAGGGCGTCACAGCCAGGGTCCTCAGCGCGTGTGGCCTGGCGACCTGAGCGCCGGCCACTGGTGTTGGAATGACAGGAACAACACAGGAGTCTTGGCGGGCCAGGGTTCGCAGCTTGGTCCGCTCGCTCCCCACTGACGCTGACGAACCCAAGGAGGATGTTTATTTTGGTAAAGAGGAAAAAAGGACTTACTCAAAGCTGGCACTGAGGTGGGTGAGAGAACTGAGGAGCAGGAGGAGGATCCCCACCCCAGCCAGCCACCTCCAGTCGGCCGCGCCTTCCTCCGGAGAGAACAGGCTCCAGCCTCCCGCCTCCCGGGGGCGCATCTGCCCCCCACCCAGGTCTCACCGTTACCCCAGGCCAGCCTTGAACTCCCAGGAGCAAGCCTCCTGCCTCAGCTGTGCCTGGGGTGAGCGGGAGGGGGCCGGTGTGTGCTCAGCAGGAGGAAGTTAGGAGAAGTTGCTTGTTTCCAGCCTGAAGTCCCGTTTCCCATTAGATAACCTGCACATGCAGATTAGTAACAACCCTGCACATGCATCGCTCCTGTAGGACGCTCCTGTAGGACGCGCCAGCCACTACTCTTTAAAGTTCTGCTTCAGCTGGCAGGGCGCACACCTGTGATCCCAGCACTCAGGAGGCTGAGGCAGGAGGATGGTGAGTTTGAGGCCAGCCTGGGCAACTTTGTGAGACTGTCTCAAAATAAAAACAAGAAAGGGCTGGGGATGCAGCTCAAGGACTCTGCTTGACAACAACGCCTTTCAGGAGCCTTGACTTTTCAGTCTGAATTAAGAAAGCTCCTCTGAGAGTGGTGACCCTGGGTCTCTGGCCCCGTCCCCACAGTTAGGATGCCCACCACCGGACTTTCTCTTCCCTAGCTTGGACGGCAGTCCTGCTAGCACAGGAGAGGGCTGGCTGCACAGGCTGCTGAGTCAGGAGTGCCACCTTACAGCTGTGTGACCTTCGGAAAGTCACTTACCCTCCTTTATGGTTGAGATTCAAAACATACCCGAGAATCTGAGGCTTTTGGAGAGTGACTGGATCATGGATGCACTAACCTCACCAGTGGTCTGGCCTCTCTGAAGTTCATAGCCCAGTGGCTATTAGTTGGTAGGGCCCAGTGGATGAGATGAGTCCCTGGGTGTGAGCTTTCGAGGGGCTTCCTCTCTTTCTTTGTATGGGGGACTGAACTCAGGACCGTCACCCTGAGCTACATCTCCAGCCCTCATTTTATTTTTTATTTTGAGATATGTCTTACTGTGTCACTAAGTTGCCCAGGCCAGGCAGGAAGTTGTGATCCTCCTGCCTCAGCCTCCCAGAGTGCTGGGATTACAGTCTGCACCACCATGCCTGGATGGGAGGTCTATCACTGCTTCTGGCAATCACTTTCTCTCTGCTACCTGGCTGCCCTGGGTTGAGCATCTTTGGTCTACCAGACCTTTCTGCCATGAATTTCTGCTTGGAGCAGCTGACCATGGACTGAACCCTCTGAAACCATGAGCCAGAATAAACTTCTCCTTTGACTGAACCCTCTGAAACCACGAGCCAGAATAAATCTTTCCTTTAAGTTGTAGGTGTCACATTTTTGTCCCAGCAAGGGGCAGGTGACTAATATGCTCTCTGTGGTTCAATTTTTTAAAAAGTAGGAAAACGAGTACCTGTTTTTGAAAGAACTTGAGGAAATTCAGTTACAGTGTGTAGATAGCTGCACATTGCAGTAAGTTGGTTAAACACAAGACAAGACCAAAGGAAGGGCACCTCAGCACTCTGATGCACATTCTTCCAGATTTTTGTTCTGTGTACAGAGGCACTGATATAAGGGATGAACTTACATTATGTGGTTCATTTCTTTGGGGATTTTGACCAGTGTTGAATTAAACACAGGTATTGACTGGGGAAGATGTATATTCTTCGTTTTTCAGCAATGAAGATGACATTTCCCCTCCCCTCCGCTCCTCTCTTCATGTAGAATGAGAAACACCATCTGCCTCCCTCACAGAACCGTGTGTTTGTGATGTGGGGATCGAACCCAGAGATTGTTTTCCAGGCATCTGCAGCCCCTGGCAGTGTTGATTCAATGAAACAAAACCGCCAGTGTTCAGTGCTGAGGACATAGACAGCTATAAGCTCCTTGGGTTTGTTTTGTTTTTTGTTTATTTGCCAGTACCATGTGGTTTTTTTGGGGTTTTTTGGTACCGGGGAGCAAACTCAGGTCCTTGTGCTTGTTGTGCAGCAGGCAGTGAAACCACTGAGCTAAATCCCCAGCTCCATGTGGATTTTATCACAGTAGCTTTGTAGCGTAATTTCAAGTCAGGGATTGTGATATCCCCTGCCTTGTCTTTGTGACCCAGAGTTCTTTTGCTATCCTAGGTCTCTTCTGGTTCCAACTGAATTTTAGGATTGTTTTCTCTAATTCTGTGAGATATGCTGTTGTGGTTCTGATTAGGATTACATTAAATCTGCCATGACCCACATGGCTGAAGGGTTCACGGAGTGAGAAATGGTGTTGAGAGATTAAGAAAGACAGACAAAGAGATTTAATAAGGTACAGGTGGGGGCCGGGTGGAGCCCTAACTCCTGATGGGAAGAAAAGACCCCCGTGTCTATTTACAGTGGTAGAGATGGGGAAGGTGAAAGGGGCTGATCTGTAACCCAGCTAAGGGCCACAGAGCATCAGGCTGGGTTTTCTGGCCAGTGGGCGAGGAGGAAGACAGTCCTCTTCTTGGCCAGGCCTTCACCACAACCTCTTGTCACCTGTTCTCCCGAGGGGCCCTGCCTCGTCCAAAGGGGGAGGCGAGTTAGGCCTGGCCATAGCAATCTACAGCGCAGGGCTCCCAGCATCAATCTGTATAACAATTTTGGAAGTATGGCCATTTTCACCATTTTGGTTCTTCTTACTCAAGAACAAGGGATGTCTTTCCATTTTCTGATATCCTCTTTGCTCTCCTTTTTTCAGAGAACTGTGGTTTTCCATCCATGTAAAAGTCTTTTACTTCCTTTGTTAGGAATTCCTAGGTATTTCATTTTTTTTGGATGCCACTGTGAAAGGTGTTGTTTCCCTTATTTCTCTCTCCGTAAGTCTGTTACTTGTGTACAGGAAGGCTATTCGTTTTTGAGTGTTGACTTTGTATCCGCCTACGCTACTGAATGTGGGTATTACATCTAGAAGTATTTTGGTGAAGTTCTTGGGGTCTTCTATATAGAGTATCATGTCATCTGCAAATAATGGTAATTTAACTTTTTCCTTTCCTATCTTTATTCCTTTTATTTCTTTCTCTTGTCTAATTGCTCTGGCTAATGTTTCCAGAACTATATTGAATATGAGTGATGGTAGTGGATATCCTTGTCTTTTTCCTTATTTTACAGTGAAAGATTTTCATTTTTGGTCATTTAGTATGATGTTGGCTGTTGGTTTATCATAGGTGGCCTTTATCAGGTTGAGATAAAGACCACCTATTCCAATTTTCTGTAGGATATTTTATCATGAGTGGATGTTGAACTTCGTCAGATGCTTTTCCTGCATCTATTGAGAGGATCATATAGTTTTTGTCCTTGGTTCTGTTAATGTTAACATTCATTGATTTGCATATGTTGAACCATCCCTGCATTCCTGGGATGAATCTGACTTGGTCATGGTGTATAATCTTCTTGATGATTT